AGGTGTTCTTGGGGCTGCCCCAGGAAGCAGGAACCATGTCTGTTTGGTTTCCTTGCACACCATCCAGCAGCCCCAGGCATCCATGGACACCTAATATATACAATATGATGAAAACAGACAAAAAAAAAAACACACAGGGTGGAGAAAATATCCATTGGGAGCCATTGGCTGGTGGTGAGTCGGGGAGGCTTCTGTCCTCTTGATAACACCAACTACTTCCTTCCAACTTTATTTCTATGATCTTATGTCCTAACCATTAAAATCAGGCAGTCCTAAATTCCTAGTAGGCTATCTTAACTCCACTGGAGAGAATCCTTGTACCTGGACATCATGGGACATGAGGAATGTTGGAAATCCAGTCCTCTGTCTTTAGGTGGTACATTTTGGATATTTCTGGGACTAATAAGAAACATTGTTGCCACTTGTTTGAAAAATCCTTGGACAGCAAAGATAAAGGAATATTTACATAGGTCATAAGATCACAAGATTATAGACAGAGTGCTGGAAAAGATGTCAGAATTCATCTGGTCTAGGCTTGAGGCCCGAAAAGGTTTCTTAACTTGTCCAAGGTTATGCAGGGAGTAAGAAACAGATTGAAAAGCTGCATTCAGATCCACTAAGTCTTGGGATTCCCTCAGATGGGTGTGGCAAATAAAATATGCTTCCCAGAGCACCTCACTTTCCACCAGGGTGTGGCTGATTGGGAAATAGCTTTCTGTTAGCATCCTCTATATGCTTGCTTCACCCCTACAATATCCCTTCTTGTCAGGGTGTTGGCATGTACAATAGGATTTTTAATTTTCTATTCCTATGTTGCAATTCAGGGAAATAGTAACAAATTGCCCTAGGTAAGTCATTGATGTTACCAGTAATTAGGCATTTTGCTACTAGCTCCAAACCACCTCTACTCATTAAACCAGCCACTCTCAGTTGGGTGCCATCCCTTCGGCAACCGCTCATCTCTATAGTCCCTCCAATTTTCTCTATCTCCTAGAAAGTTTCCTGATTCAAGCCAACTCCCTGGGATTTGAGTTTGAGATAAAGCATTTCTAATACTTCTAAGCAAACCCCAGGCTAGAGAATCTACATCAGGCTGAATTGACCTGGGAGTTTAGGTGGCTAGCTCCCACAGACTGGTTGGGCCAATATGAGTAGGTCCTGGAGTCAACTTGTTTTCCTGGGAGACCTCCAAACCAAGTACAGCTCAGGATTAGATTGTATCTCCCACAGCCAAGGATGCCATTACCCATAGCCCCTGTGGGCTACATACCAGATAGAGTACAACCAGATAGAAGAGCTCCTGGGATAATGATGCCTGCCCAAGCATTTCCCGTCACTGTAGAACTTCCAATGTGGGCTTTCTTGCCTAATCTAAGACAGGAAGCTATTTGAAGGGGCCTAGATAGTAGTTCTGACTGCAATTTGCCAAAGATAAGGAATAAAGGAATCCAGTATGATGATAACCACTAGACTAGATGTTGCCTTAATATAGATATAATCTGCAGCTCAAATCTTAGCTCAGAGGAGGCTTGCATCCATGAAAAACAATGTCTTAAAATCTCAGTTATTTTTCAGTTTGCTAAACAGGGAAATAATTTGGTGTCACTCATGGAAATTCATGGGCTAAAAGTCAGAAGAACTGGGTTCTAAATCCTATTCTGTTGTCAACTCACTTTTATGATATTAAGCAACTCACGTCATTTTTGTCCAGGCCACAGTTTCCTTATCTATAAGAGAGAGGACTGGACAGAATACCCCAAAGGGCTTTCCACTCCTGGGATACTACAATTCTAAGGGGGACCTACTGTTTGCTTTATGCAGAGTGTTTGGAAACAATGAGAGGCAAACTCCATTTGGGGGGAAAATACCATTTTTTAAAAAATCATTAAATCATTTAAATCATGGTATTACCATTATTTGTGTCAAGTCACAGCTTAGTGATGTCTCTCAGGTACTAAGAAAAAAATATCTAGCAATTTGACACATTCCATAGTATTACATCAAAGGTATCTGAAGGATGAACCAGCTTAATGCAAAACACTCCCCAAAGGTTGGTCAGTTGTGTCTCAAAGGCTCCTGCAAGCAAATTAGAAATCTAGCTGCTAAGGAACAGGGAAAATGAAGAAAGAGAAACCGTTGGGGAATGACTTCACCTATCATTAGAGTCCCTCCAGATCATCCAACTAGGAAACATGACCAAGTAACCTGTATCCATAATGGTCTGCTCTCATTCTCCTGGGAACTCCAGGTTTTTACACTGAGGGGCAGGACAAACAGTCCAGGAATTTTCATTCGAACAATCTTCCAAATGGGGGTTAAATTCAGCAGTGCCCTAGGACACTGATTCTTAATCCTTTTTTGTGTCATAGATCCTTTTGGGAGTCAGTCTGGTGAAGCCTATGGACCCCTTCTGAGAATAATATTTTAAGTGCATAAAATAAAATAGCATTACAAAGGAAGCCAATTATATATATCGTTTAAATTCATGGACTTTGAAATCTGTCGATGGCATCTTTGGAAGTCTGTGGACTTCAGGTTAAGAACTCCTCTAGGTAAATAAAATAGAGCACTGCAAACCTTAGTTAGGGGATGTGTTATATGGTAAAAAGAGGACTGGATTTGGAGGTATAAGATTTGGGTTTGAATTCTTGCCTTGCTACTTAATGATCTGCATGACTTTGAGCAAGTCACTTCTCTGAGCCTATGACCTCTCTGGGCCTCAGTTTCCCCATCTGTAAAACAAAGGGTTGGATTAGATGATCTCAAAGTTCCTAGCAGCTCTAAATCCTATTAATCCCATGAATATTTTCATGGGTCATATGGCTTTATGCCATGTAGGTTATGTGGTATCCTTTGTTATCCCGTCTTCTTTCTTCCAGCTCCTGTCTCAACATTCCCTTACCCCCTTCCCCAGATCAGTTGGCAGTAATATTTATTACATATATTTAAGAAATAATAATAATAAGAGGGAATATAATAGAGTTACCACACGTTGGATTGTTTGAGGGAATTATCACTGAATTTTTCAATGTCCAACTCCACTTGGTGACCATGGTGACTGTCATCAAAGCATGTGTTCCTCTTTTTACACTGTTAGAGGTACTTTCGTAGGATTTATAGTAGAGGATGCTTTAGAAATTATTTAGTTCAACCCCTTCATTTTATATTTGAGAAAATTGAGGTCCTGAGAAAGGAAATGACTTGTTGATCCTGTTACCTTCTCCCCCTCTGGGTTTATTCCTCTAGACCCAACTTGACCCATTCTGGGTTATCAACTGGAACCTCTGCTTCATCAGAGCTGTAATTTGGATCACCCTGCTTTAGTTACTTTTAAATAGGGAAGGGGGCAGCAAGGGAAATCCTCATACTTTCAAACTGACTTAGAAGTGGAAAAAATGTAATGTTTTTTAATAATTTGGATGCTTTTCTCCTTTCTTTAAAAAAAATGGCTCCTTTGTTGAACATGAAATGTTGCCTTTAGGCCACACTATGTTCTGGCCCTTCTGGAAGGGCTCAGTAACCCTCTGTTCTGTGCCCTTTCAGAGCAGGCATCTAAGATTAACAGCAGGATACTCATCCAAGGGATTTACATGACACTGTAAAAATCTGTGTTATGTTTTGAATCAAGTCTTTGCAAATCACTTCTGATTCAATTTTGTTTTCATTATCTAAGTGTAAATAGCAGTAAAGTGGGAGTTACAGATTTCTCAAACACTAAAAGTGATAAACAAAGCTAAAGCCAAGTCTAGATAAGGAGGTAAACCACCCAGGAGAATCCCACACTCCCAGTAAAGAAGTACAGGAGCCAGTCAGAAGTATGTGTGTGTGTTTCTCGTCTCCAGAACTTTTATTTTTCCTTGTTCTGTAGAGTTTGCAGCGTATGCATATGTGTGCTATTATTTTGACCATTCCTGTTCTAGTCTTTATGATAATGTAGTAATAGGTGCTTAGCGAAGCAAGACAGTTTGGAAGACACAAAACCATTCTAAGAAACAAAGATACAAGTGTTTCCCCAACTGTTAGCTTGCGGCTCTCTCTAAACGGTTTTCACGCCTCCATTTAAAAATAGTTGGCATAATGCTGCTTTTTCCCCCTTCTCTGAGCATTTGTGACCACATTACCCTGGGGAAAATATGAGCCATAAGTGCGTAGTTAGGATGGCATTTCCAGGACCAGAGGTCTGCCTCAGCACCTGTACTTAAAAAAAAAAAACCCAAAACAAAACACTCCAAAAGACTACTGATTTCGCTGATTAACGCGGGTGTGAGTGTTCCCTATCCCCCCTCCCCCTTTCTTGCTCTGATCTTTAGGTGGGGAGGTAGATGTAGCTATTTCACTTAGGAAACGGGGGGGGGGGAAGACATGTTTGGGACATGACAAAGGCTGTGACTAGTAAACCCTCGGGGTATTTTGGTTTTAGCCCAGCCCTGACTGATGGTTTATATGTCGATGCCACGCACTACTGCTCTGCCTGTAGGAACGGATGGATGGCCAAAGCTGCCTGTCCCAGATCAGTCAGGCAACCCACCCCTAGCACCCGCAGCCTATCCAACTTCGCTTGTCAACCGCATGTGTGGTGTTGTATTGTGCTGTGTTCCGTGTGGGTGGCGCCCGAGTCAACAAGGAATTTGTTTTGAATTTAGGGAGAACAGAGATTTATTCCGGTTCCTGCCGTTGTGTGTCTCGAGAGATGGAGAACAAGAGGACGGCTCTTTGAAAGGTGCCCAGTCCTAAGCAAAGGAATTAATAGATTGACGGGCTGAGACCCGGCTCGGGGCTCTTGCAGCAAGGCTTTGCTCTCGTCGCCAGTTGTGGATTGGAGGTGGGAAGAGGAGTCTGGGTGGGAGCTGGATTAACTTTGATCTTGCGGCTGACTGGCTGGCTGGCTGGCTGGTTGGAGCTGCTGCTGCGGCGGCTGCTGCTGCCACCGCTCGGATGTACAAGCTGGGTCTGAGCGCCGCTCACTGCCGTGTGTCTTCGCGTTTGCCTCTTTAATCAGGAACACAGAAGGGGCGGGCCCTGAACCGGCGTGTAATCGGATAGCTCTGCCTCTGCTCTGACATCCACATGCTGCTTTGCCTGAAAAGGCTGCGAGGAGCTGAAGGGGAGGCAAAGAAAGAGGAGAAGGCACCGAGCCCACAAGCCTCTGAACATCTTCACATACACAGACACAGAGAGACACGCACCGACTCAGGAGCAGAAGGAAGAGGAGGTGGAGGAGGGTGGACGGAGAAAAGACCCAACTCTTAGCCCCGATCATCATCGTTCAGATGAAGGCGGCTTCCTCAGCCCTAGCAGCCGCCGCAGCAGCAGCCGCCGCCGCCGCAGCAGCCTCACACACAGTATAAATCCCTGAGCTGCCTCCACAAGCCTGCTCTTCCCACACACTCCCCCCTGAAACTGGCCAGACTGGGGGAACTGCGCCCAGCTCAGCCACGGACCTCAGAGGACAACCCCACTCAGGGAAACGCACCGAGGGGGAGAACTGACCGATACCGGCAGATTGTCCCTCCGCCGAGTGTCTGTACTGTGTGTGTATGTGTGTAAGTCTGTGTATCGGTGTATGTGCCTGAAATTATACATTTGCTTGTGGTTTGTGTGATGTCCAAAGGCAAGCCTCTCTTATTTTTATTTTATTTTATTTTTTTTATCCCTGGCTTTCGGGAAACGCTCGTGATATAACATAAAGGCAATGACACTTTAAGGAACTGGAGAGAATACATTTTTTTTTTTAAGGAGGAAAGCGGTACCCTCTTCCCTTCTTTCTCTCTTCTGATTTCGAGAGCTGCCCTTCCTCCTGTTGAGGTGCGGTGGGTTTACAAACCCAGCAGAAGGATAGAAGACGGGACGTCAGGACCCCGCAGGAGGGAAACTACACAATTAGGAACACTTGGCGGAAGAAATTCTAAGGAGGAAAATAAGAGACACCCAAGAGAGACTCCCAGTTACCAAGGAAGACCTACACATCAGCTGTGGAGAAAGCCCCTTCTCCAAAAATGGATACATTTCATCTTCTCTGGGTTTCTTTAGCTCTCAGCTTTTCAGGACCCGGAGTGATAGGAGAAGCAGGTAAGCCCTCGAAAGTTGTTTTCTATGCGTTTGTGATCGTTTTCCTTAAAAGCCAGTGCAAATGCAGGGGGTGACGTACACGCAGCGCAGAACAAGACTTACTCAATAATTTAGACAGACCCAACCATCCTTCTCCACCATCACTGCTTTAAAAATGCAATTTTTCCCTCCTGCAAGCAGTAGTGTGTGTGTGTGTGTGTGTGTGTGTGTGTGTGTTTTGAAACAGACAGTTTTTGGCGGTGTTCAGATGTCACATATGGACTGAATCAAAGGTTTAAAAATACTACAAAGCCTTCGCATTACAGTTTTAGGGATTTTTTTTTTCATGTCTTGAAGCAGAACACATCTCCCTTGAGTTTCCTGAACCTAGCCAGAAAAACATAAATCATTTGTATTCACCCCATTTAGCTACATAGAGCAAGGCAAAGTGAAAGGGTTGGGAGAGGAGGGGATCTAGTTTTCATTTTCAAACATTGCTCATTCTTTTGAAAGGAATAGATGGAAAAACCTCAAAAATTATATGGTTCAGGCTGATGGAACAGTCTAGCTTAAGGTATGAAATAAAGGGCCTCAACTAAATGTTTTCAACTGATGAGCAGGGTTCCCATTTTTTAATCCTGGTTTCTGCAATTCCACACTGTGTATATGTGTCTGTGTGTTTTCTGGGAAAGTAAATCATATACAATTTTTATTAGATAAAACAAACAGCATGGCCCTCAAAGATCTTGTGAAGGGCTTAGGAAACTTTTCCTTATGGAATTCACTCTAGACCAGTGGCCAAAAGAGAAGGTAGGCAAACTGCTGGCTAGATAAGCACAGAGGCCACAGTATAGAGGATGGACCAGGCAGTAATGGGGATGCGGGGATTGGAGCACGTGTGAACTTCATGGAAAAGGCCTCATTTCTTAAGGGAATGAAGGGCAACTTTACCCCCTCCTTCCTGGGGAGAGTTTCCATGATGGATCTTTCTCTCAATTGATTACTCAATCGATCTGGGATCTGACAGCTCTTACCAAGAACTAACAGGTGACTGGGGGGAAAAAATCTACACCCAGATACACCTGACCCATCTGGAGGATGTGTGTTAAATACACTCACTCCCCAAGTCACTAGTTTGCAACAGGGTCTTAAGAAGAGGCCCAAGCCTTCCTAGGCAAACCCTGCCATGTATCTATCCATGGCTGAGTGAGGTTAGCCAGCCGCCTGGTAATTCGCTGAGTCTGTTTAATTTGACAGAGCAGCTTTCTCTACTTTATGTGCTCCCCTTACCTCTTTTCCCGCCCTAGTCTTTTAACTTGAGTGTGTGTTTGAGGGGGAGGACGATTAAGGAAGCACACTTTCTCTCTGACAATCTTCGTTTCCAGTTATTTCTCTTTCATAAAAGGATCGCCGGTAGGGCAACTATACCTTCAGCTTACCTACCTGGTGGGATAGGTATGGATCCTACCTTAAGGGATTCCCGACACTCCCTATTCTCTTTCCTTAATTCTAAGGTCACAGCATGAGGCAAAATTAAATTACTTCCCAGTCCTGGATGCTGCATAAATTATGTATGTTTATGTAATTTACTGTGTGTACTGGGAATAAGCGGGGCCCATGAAACATTATTATTCATTCATACACATACTCACATAGGCCCAGACTGGGGGAAAACACACACACACACACACACACACACACACACATTCTCCTAACGTTTCCCTTTATGGGGTGGGGTGGGGAGCAGAGAGAGGGAACAGAAGGGGTTGTGAAGTTGGAGAGCAAGGGAGCATCTCACACCACAGATGTTCAGTACATCTGTTCCCCTAGTCCAGTGGTGTGTGTGTGAGTGTGTGTGTGTGTGTGTGTGTGTGCGTGTGTGCGCCCAAGCGCGCGTGCCTGGGTGTATGTAAATGCTGGCACCCGTCAGGGAACAAACACACTCGGGCTGCAGTCTGGCTCCACAACCCTTCCATTACAACCCTCGATGCGTCAGTTCTATAAAAGTCCAGGGGCAAGGTGAACCAGGCTATGCTTCAGGTTACCTGCGCTGGGGACCCTCCACGTCCAGAGGCAGGTGGCCGGGTGGGGGTGCAGGAGACTGGAGCAAGGGCTGGGGGGGGGCTACCTCCTCCGCATGAGGAGGCGTCTCGAAGTTGAGTTTTTCTGGGGTTTTCCAGCTGCAAACTGGGCGGGCAACCCGGGAAGCTGCACAGAGGGGTGGCAGAGGGTGAGGCCGAATGAGACCATCTGACTCATCAGCGTGTGCGCCTGGGGTCTGGAAAGGAGACTAGTGGAGATAAAGCCTCTGGATAACCATTTCCGAGAAGGATGAAAATGGGGGGGGGGTGAACAGAGAGAAGGGAAAGGAAGAGAGGGCGAGAGTTCATGTAAGATTAAAATAAAAACCCACTATCTGCTCTTTACAAGACACCTGGGCGTCTTGGTCAAGGAAGCTGATCTTGCGGCGGTGAGGCGCGGTTAGATGCAACCGGTCTTCAGTTTCTTTTCAGCTCGGCTTCTGCTCCGTGTCCTTCGCCAGCACCGCAAACTCCAAAGCCCTTTTTGCTTGGTCCTCCCCTGACCCCCGGGCTCGGGAACGCTCGAACCGCATTTTCTCAGCCAAGCCCGAGTCCCAAGCGACGGACGCCCCCAGCACTGCACTACGCTATGCGCCAACTTAGCGCCGCGCAGCGCCCGCTGGAGTCGGGGAGCCGCCTATGCGGGAGCCCCGGGTCTTCGAGGGAAGGGAGGGAGGAAGGAGGCCAGCCGGCCTGCTGTTCTGCGGAGTGGGAAATAGGGGCTATGGAGGCTGCAATTACCCAAGCGGCTAGGAAAGAAGAGATGGGAGGGAGAGAGACTAAGCTGCAGGAATCGGTAGAACTTCCATCGAGACGGGGCAGCCAGTTCCTGAGCCCACTGCTGTTTAACAGGTGAAAAACACACCGCTGGGAACAAATGTGGTCGAGAGGTCGTACCTCCCCAATTCCCCCCAAGTCTTCTGGGCTGCCCCCCCACCATCGTCTCTTTCCCCACCCCCACCCCCCACCCCTTAGCGGAGCCTGCATCGATTTGTTTGGGCCGCACAGCAGAAACCGAGCCAAGCGATCCATAAACATTCTATTAGGTAAAAAATATTCCCAGCGAAAGCAAAACGCCAGCACAAACTCGGGAGAAATTAGCCCCGGGGAGTTTGGCCGAAGCCAGCTCCAGTTCAATCCTGCGCCCCACCCCCGCCTCCCAGGGACCCGCGACACTCCGGGGGAGAAGCTCTCGGCATCTCCGCTCTGCGGCCCGGGGCCAGAAAGTTAAAGTCGTAGCCGCAGTTCTCCTCAGGAGAAGCAATTGCAGTTGCAAATGAGTTTCCTCCGTCCCCTCCCCTTCCCGTCCGCTGTCTCGCTTGGGCTTTTCCTCGTGAGAAAGAAATTCACGGCTAATGCTTCATTTGAACTGATTGATTCCTTTTTAATACCAACATGTTAATAGAGGCGAGGCGAGCTGTGATTAAGCGGCTGCCCCTACTCGCCCCTCGCCTCGGTCTGAGAGCTCCTCCTCAGTCTTTCCCACCGGTACTGAACGCCTTGCCCTGCGCAGCCTGGGGCGGTGTTGACTGTGCCCGGGGAATCCCGCTAGGTCCGCGGGCCGTCAGTTGGCACCGGGGCGGAGACCAGCTTTTGTACTTCAGTACCGCAGACCCCTCCCGTTCCCAAGAACCGGGTGTCTCGCTAGTGAATTGTACTAGGCGGGGGAGACCTGAAAGTCTCAATTTACAATACTGGCAAATCCTCTCTGCAACCCGCGGCTCGCCCCACCCTCTCAGCCATCCAGCGCCCTCAGCTCCGGGACGAGGGGGTGGGCCCCCGAGCACTGGCCAGCCCTGCCCTGTTCTTGGCCACTGAAGGGCTACGTTTCAGCCCTTGTCTGTGGGTTAGTGGGTTGAGCTAACCAGGCGTCATCCATCAGGCGTTAGCAACTTTTTCTCTCTCCGCCTATGGATCAGGCTAGAAACAATGATTCAAGGTTTCTCCCCCTCCCCCAAACCCCCTAATTCCATGACCAGTCCGTTGCCAGACCTCATCTATGAAGTTTTAAATCCTGCGTGTTTGACTTAAGACACTATTTTGGATGGAGGGAAGAGGGCCTGATGTGATATGAATTCAGCATCTTGTCAGGGCTAAAAGATCAGAGCAGAGGTGTAAAAGCTGTAGCTGGAGTAGAGAGAGGCCAGGTTTGAACAAAACTCCACAAAAAAAGAATTAATGAAATTCTGTGTTTCTGTGTATAAACTTATGTTTGGAAAGCTCTCCCATATGGTATGTCCCTCCAAAAACTGCAGTGGCCATGAGCAGTAATAATAATTCATGTAGCTCCTTTTAGCCTGAGGCAAGATTGTAAGCTCCTAGAATCTGGAATGTAAACTGGCAGGGACGCAGTCTTTTTCTGTGTTTTGTAGTCTCCAGCTATACACACATCCTGTGGATGCCCAATAAACATTGACTGATAAGCAGCCACCTGGGACCGAAAAGCTGCCGCCGCCCTTTGGTAATACTGTGCATTGCATAAGTGAAACCTAGCCGGCGGGGTATAGTGGGGATAGGGCGGGGGTGGGGCTTGGAGGGAGAGAATGTTGGGGAGGGGAGAAAACGTTGGGGAGAGGGAGAGGTTTTCAGACCAAGGGCATTAGGGGGCAGGCCCTTGCTTGTTACAAAATGTGCTGCATAGGATTGTTAATGTCCAGGCAGCACCTAGGGCTTTGATTTTTAAGATCTTATCCACCGGGCCTTCAAACATTTAGCTACGCAGCACTCAATTAAGCTACCTTGTAAGAATGAAAGGCAGCGCTGTCCCTGCTGGGACCTGAACCTGTGCTATCCAGAGACGGGAAGCTACATGCTTACTCTACACCAAATGACTCTTGTTTCTAGCTTTTCACTTTGAAAGGCACAACAGTATGATACCCCACACAGCTGAGCACTTCTTTAGCAGAAAGAATAGGCCACCGTAGTGCCTAAAGGGGAAGG